TCTCTGAACTGAGAAGGTCTCAACTGTCTCAGCCTGATGGACTGAAGTACTCATCAGCTGCTTCAGTATGAAGAAAACAGAAGGAAGGTGAGGACTTACCTTCATTTTGCAATCTGACTATGATACCGCTGTAGACAGCTGCCAGCGCTGCTCCACACGCCATCTCCACCAGCACGCGTTCCTCATCTGCAACCGGCATGCCATCACATTAACTCTGGTGCAATTTCCACTTAGTTGTGCATAATTTTTCAAACATTTTCCACTATTCAGCAAAGCCACAAAGCAGCAGGCTTAAAAGTTACTGATTAAAAAGTTTTGTCATGGTGTGAACATTGTTGCCATAGTTACTGAAGGTAGAGGTATTCAGACCCTTCTGAATTCTTTGCATGCGTGAATCATCCAAAAACCAACTTAAAGTGGACCCGCTTTGTACAATTCACATTTCCTCTGTAGAAGCCAGTGAAGGTGGCTCCGGCCTCTGGTTAGGATGCCTACCTAGTTTCTCTCTTTGCAGGTTTCCAATCACACCCAACTGGGAGGAGATCCTGGAGTAGACCCAGAAACAGCTAGAGAGACGATACATCTCATCTGGTCTGGGAATACCTCAGGATCTCCAGGAAGAACAGAAAGTGTTGCTACCCTTTAAAGCCTAAACTGTCCTCTGACTGGCTGGCTGGGTAGGGCTCCTGACTTCATACAGATATGAAGTTCAAAATGTTTCTAAAGTCTCAATGGAGAAGTGTTTGTTCTGTTATAAAATGATAAATTAGCATGTTTAGGGGCTTTTGTGACACTGCATCATTTTATGAGGGAAATTTAGGCAGCATTTTACTGCAAACCACAGAGGACAGGCTGCACTGGAGGTTGCCAGATTAATATGAGAAGATTAATGTGTAAGGGAAGAATTTAAAGTATTGCTGCACAGATCTGTGTTCTTTAGTTACATATTTAAGTTTATAGTGCAAAGCAGCCCTAGTCTAATATTTCACAAAGTGTTGTGCTATATAAGATTAGTATATGTTTTGTTGTATTAGATAAATTAACTACAACTGATGTTGTTCAGTATAAGTTAATAATAAGTACCAACAAGTATAGTGCTTGAATAAATGTGCTAATAAATTATTGCCTTCCCCTGGCTGTAGCTCTATCATTAATCATTAGACTTTCTCTGCCCACAAGAGGGCAGAAAATGGCTTCCACAGGCCTGTATGGTTTGCAGTTAATTTCATTCATTCTGGGGCATAAAGACATGCTTGTCCAGCAGCTCAAAGTGAAGAAAAACATTGTACAGGGAAGCCAAACGAAAGCATTTATGTACAGGAAGTCTTTTACAGAGTAAAACCTCATTCTAATTTTCTGCAAAAACCCTTCTTTATACTCCTTATTATCAAAGTAACCGTGGAAACTGGAGGTATTAGGATGCACAGGATAGAAACAAAAGTCTACCATGCTGATTTGGACACTGACTTAATAGCAATTGGTGAGAATAAATGTGATGCAATATGAAGAAAAAAAAAAAACTATTAAAGATTTATTAATTGACACTCATCACCAAGCTTAAAGGCAAATTCAGAGGTAAAAACACTCACCCAGGAATGTTTGGATAGCATGCAGAGCCTGCTGGTCGGTCACCAGCTCAGAGATGATTGTCAGCTCGCTGCTCTGGCTGTAGTCGAAGGCTTGTTTACAGGCCGTCTTCGCTCCAAGACATTTAGCCTCACTGTGGAGAGGCAGTAGGTTTGATGGATGAGGGTACGTTCGAAACACTTCATTGCAAAAAACTTTTAAACTCCTTTAAAGTCAAACCTGGTGATGTCATCTAAAGTGACCAACTTCCCCGCTTTAATTGCAGCATTGAAACAGTGTGCCCCCACTGTTTCCATCGCGACAATGGGCACGTCTGTCCAGCCCACATCCTTGAGGCCCTGGATGACCCCACACAGGAGGCCCCCTCCGCCCACAGACACCACCACAGCTCCGGGCTTCACGCTGGGACCCAGAGAGGCAGGGACCTCTGCAATCATACTGGCGTGGCCTTCCCTGTATGGGTGAGTGTGTGGACACAGGTACAGTTTGAAAGTGAGTCTTTTTAAAGTGCCCTGTGCTTTAATGAGGAGGTTCTCTACCATAGCAAGGGGTGATCGAATGGAGCAACATAAGTAAGCCCTTCAGTTTCTGCCAGTTTGAGAGCCTCTGTGTTGGCATCATCCCAAACCTGCAAAGATAAGAGTCTTAGTCTTCTTTAAAAAAAATAAATCTAAATTCTGGATTTTAAACCATCATATCAGTGAGCTTCACCTTGCCTACAATTCTGACAGTAGCACCCTGATCATGGAGTCTCTGGACAACCAATGGAGGAGTGGAGGAGGGAACTATGATGGTAGCTGGCACGCCCATTTTTTGGGCTGCATATGCTGCAGCCATACCTGCATTACCACCTGAAAAAACACCACCTTCAATACTAAAGAAACACACTAATGACACTGCATTGTAATGAGAATATGATGTTTAACAGGACAGAGTCACCTGAAGAGCAGATTACTCCTTTGGAGTGTCTGGCGAGCTGCAACGACACATTAAACACAGTCACTGTGTGACAATGTGGATCTGAAGAAAGGGAGCACGCGTGAGGGGCGCTGTAAAGATTCCCACCTGCTGGCAGAGGTGCCCGATGCCACGGATCTTGAAGGAACCAGAGGGCTGTGCATTCTCCATTTTTAGATAGACAGTGGTTCCCACCCTCTTGGACATGTTGATGCTCTCCAGCAGTGGTGTCTTCAGGTGGAAAACCTCTGCCATGGTGCACCTAGATGCCAATGAAAGAGAAGCAGTAAAAACTCCACAGAGTGCAAGTGGGTGGTACAGTGGAAAAGTTGTTCATCTTTTATACACATTTTCATCTTCTGTTAGGTTTATTGGTAGTCAGAGCATAACTATCACCAGCTCTCAGATTGCAGTGCTGAAGAAAGAGAAGAAACAAAGAAGTTGCCTCTGCACAATTTGTGTTAATTTAAGGCACTGAACTCTTGAGTCATTTTTCATTGGTAGACTGTCTTTCACATGTAATTTCACTTTAATCTTTCTGATCTGATTTAAATTCAACTGTGCATCATATTTTGTTAGTAACCATGAGAATATCACCCCCCTTCTCTGTGTACTGTATTCACCTACTGTGAATATTGTAACTTTGATTTTTCTAATCTCATCTATTCTGTTTATTACTGCACAAATCATTTCTCCCACTTTCCACCGAAATCTGTAAAACCACCATCCTTCACTTCCTTCCTTCCATTGTTGTTGCCACCTTCAGTTTCTGCTTCTTTCCTGATAAACCCGAGTGTTAAATTATTTTCCTTGGCTTCCTTCGAAACCTAATCTCACATTTTCCAATGATACCAAACGTGCCAGAGCACATAAAAACACCCCAATGTGTGATTTCTTTAGTATTTCTCTTGAAATGCCCGGTCTATTGCCTGTGTAAATACACTGTAAATGGGTTCGTTTTTAATATTAACTAATATCACCGTTTGAATTATGTACCAAGCATGCGCAGTGTTGCTTTCAATAATAAAATAAAATGTCCAAAGTGGAAAATCAGGTATTTATATTCTTCACTTTAATCTTCAGCAGCTCTCTTTAGAGGTCGCCACAGCGGATCACCTGCCTCCATCTCACCGTATTCCCAGAACCCATCCATTTCATAATTAATAAATAAATAAAATAATACAATTTAAAAACCGGTAAGGGTCAAAACCAAACCAAGGTATTAAAAAACAAAAAACAAAAAAAAACAGATAATAGCTTTTTGTTGCTAAGAGAATAGTTTTGACATACAGTTCACTTTGGGAAAGAAAAAAATGTGTAATTGTTGATATAAATATTTGGGAGAAATACACTCAAAGTCTGAATCTTCTCGCCTCTGTGGCAGCAAAACATGTCTGCCAGCGGAACTTTATTAACACAACAAAGCAATAATTAACATAAAGCGTCCGAAATGCTACGTTGTAATTTGGGATATCAAATACAAACCATTATATAAACCATGACTTACGTTCGGTTAAAATGTCTTCGTGAATGAGCCCCGCAACAAAAATTAATCAACTGTTTTCTTTTGGAAAATGTATTACAGTTTCACCAGACGCTACGCTACATACGAATGTAGCACATTGTACCGGAAAAGTATCCAATAGTAACAAGACTACTTCCGGTCACTGCTTCAAAATAAGTGTTTGATTAAAACCAATGACTGTAGAAACTTAAAGTGAATTTACTGCTGGAAACAAGCTTATATTACGTTTGCCTACAATAAACTTAAACTAAGTGTAAAAAAAAAAAGCATTTTAGACAAATAAAATTACAAGATAACAAAACTAAATAACATAATTGTCTAAAAAGTGTCTTAACAATTCGTCAGTTTCGCCAACTATGTCAGCACACCAACTCTGAGCCAGCTTTGGTAGGCATGTAAACTGGGTTTTTACATGAGTATGAGTATGTGTGTTAGTAGTGTTTTGTAATTTTGTACAGTTCTGAACTCATCAAACAACATCCATTTCACAGTGAATACATTCTAAACTCCAACTAATAAAACTAACTGAAGTGAACAGTTTAACAATAAGAACTAAACTGGAAAACTGCCCAAGTAACTCAACTGATTTTGAAATTTCCCCACAGATCGGTTTGCCAAGTGTTTTTATTTTGAAATTACAAAATAAAAGGCTGACAGTTTTCTGTAGTTCAGTTCCTGCATTAGAGTTAAATTACATAACAAACGCCACAGTGATTGAATTTAGGATTTTAATCTGGAAAAAATTTACGACTGAAGAGCTTTCTGTCGGTGCTGGCTCTCCTGAATGACCTTTGAACTTTAATTCCCATCTAAAGTCCACGGTTTATTACTCGAGGCTTGTAATTATGTAAGCTCACGTGTGTCTGCCTGTAACTGTTCCAGCTGTGCATTGTTTGACAAAAAAAACAAAAAACGAGCTGAGTCATTGTTATTTTTCTCTGTAGGGATTATAATTTCTTTATTAATATTGTACAGTAGCTGTATAGTTACAGTTTGCATATACACAAAGTGATGGTAAGCACTTCTCAGAACAATATCTCACTCTCACACCAAACATCACTCATCTTATTGCTTCATATTTTACACAGCTCGTGCTGAAGAAAACGGCGCTTTATTTTGTGGCAAACCTTTCCTGTACACTAGGTGGCAGCAATGAGCAGCACCAGCACTGACACATGAAAAGAAACAGGAGCAGTGTGTGCTAGTAATGAGAAAAATAATAATAGAAAGCAATGTTTTGTTTTAAATAAAGCAATATAAATCAGGGCCAGAAGCAGAAGCAGTGGAAGCAGTTCTTCCTCCACTCACGGCTAATTTAGCCCCATTTCAACACTGACACAGGTTCTCTTTCCCAGGCCAGAATTAGGCTGGGCTTTCCTTGAAGCCACCTTTCTGAGCAGCCACAGGACCTTTAATTTAACACATTTAACAGCAGATTGACAGAGTAGCGTTTAATTAATGGGTTAATCGTCAGTTTTCACATGAGGGTCGGTATCTTCAGTCTGAAGAAAAATATGCAACAACTAGCAGCATTTTTTTTTATCTCCTCTAAATAAAAGTATCACCCATCCTTCACTTTCACACCCTTTTCTCCTCATTCTTGTTTTCCTTCCTCTCTTCCCCCTTTCTCCTCCTTTACCCTCAACAACCATTTTGGCAGTTGAACACATGTACATGTGAGAGCGTGCATTCATCCCATAATAGTTGACAAATGCTTGAATGTCAGATTATGAACTCAGAAACAGCCCATTATTCTGACTTGACTTCAAACCTTTTTGCTTAACCGTGCGTGGGTGGATGCAGATCCCAGCTTCCACGTGTCACAGTCTTGTGGTTGCACTTCCAACTCTTTTCCTCCGATTCATTTTCTGCCGAAACCTGACTCCTGTTAACGTTGTTTACCCTCCCCTCACTTTCCTCTTTCCAGCTCCACTTTCACATTTCACATCTCACACGTACTTTCAGCCTGTAAATTTACTGCATTTACAAATCTTCACGCCGTGCAGCGTGAAGGTGTTTCCACTGTAGCTGAGAAAGAGCGCATTCCTTTGCTATGTCGCTGATGAGGCTGGCATTATTTTAAATTAACACAGTACAAAAATAAAGCGACATTTAAAGAATATTTGGAGAATATCAGACAGAGCTTTATGACTCCAAGCTCATTGTTTCATATTTTAAGCTGTGTGGAGCTTTAAAAAAGCTTAAATTGCTTTTTTAATACTCTTTTTTTTTTCATTCAGCATTTCTCATGCAGCTGAACACTTTGAGTTATGAATTTACGTCAGCTCTGCAACATCTCGGTGAAAATGCACACTGCATCTATCACGATTTGGCTCTGTTGCATCCACACAAATAGAAGAAAGTGGCTCCATCTTTGTCCTCCCCTCATTCTGCTCCTTCTACTCCTTCTTCTTCTTCTTTCCTGCATGCATGCCCCCTCTGCGAGCATGAGGCTCCTGATCTGGGCTTTATGCCAGTGAACGTTGTCTGGGTTTGATCCTTGGATACAGCTGCAGAGAAAACAAGACAGACACAGAGAGCTAGAAAGAGCAAGCGAGGATGTAGGTGAGGTCACAACATCATGTCAACATGTTCTCAAGGTGCCTGAACATCTGAAGGCCAGCAGACTGAGGGGCATCGTGTGGGAAGAAGGTCTTCCTGCATTTGCATGTTTTCTGTGTGGTATAAACTGAACAGAACATAGGACAGACAGGTACTTGACATACTCTTGCTGCTCTTTTACACCATCTATGTGACCCCAGAGTTGGATGGGGCAAACTTTTCTGCAGTTAAATAGCTCAAAATCAGAAATCTCATCTTTTCTAAGTGTCCTTGACGTCTTATATGCTAACATGAAACCAGCTGCTTGAAACTTCAGAGCAGAATTTCAGTCAGCCCTAACCTTTGAATAAAACTGGACTATTCTTTGAAATAAAATCCTTGTCAAACTTAAACTGTTGTTCTAAAAATCTGACTTGGAACAAGTCGTCCACACTTTTGTTTTCTCTTGACCAATTTACTGCAACTCTGCTCTTTGTGGTACACATGAAAAGTTTCTCTCTTGCCTCCCACAGAGCAGCATCTCCACTTCCTACTTTCACATAACCCCTAATCTGGCTTCTCTCCACTGGCCTTCTGTATGTCTTAGAGTTGATTTTATGATTTGCTGCTACATGGCACAACTGTTGGCACCATATGAATATGTTTACAGGCTTAGATCCTCAGCTGGGTCCTCCTGGCACTGTGAAAGTAAGGTGATCGTGTTTATATCATCAGGGTCACTCTACTCTGCCTGAGGAGATAAAACTCACAGTATCATCGACTCCTTTGAAGTCTTTCTCTCTCTTTTTGTCCTTGAGTTGTACCTGTTCTTATACTAATGTCTAACTTTCTCACTGTAATATTTTCACCAGAGTCGCTCTTTTGGTTTCGGTTCTCTCACCCCCAGCAGATTTCTGGGCACGTATCCCTCACGGTCATTCAGGCGCGCCCACCACCACTCTGTCTCAGTGTCGTCGTGGCGACGCACCACGGTGATAGCATCACCTTCGCTGAAGGAGAGCTCATCAGACTGCTGGGCTGTGTAGTCCCACAGGGCATAGACTAAACCTTTGTTCATCACACCCAACTTTTCCTGCACACCTGTGAGAGACACAACGATGACTTTAGACGTTTACCTGTGCGATTATGGTAATTGCGCACGCAGGTGAGTGCGTTTGTATCTTCCTACCGTAAAGGAACTGGGAACACTGGGTGTAGCCCTCTTCCATTTCTTCACATTTGTCCGCGGCTGTTTCCACGTCGCTGATCGTTGTGGCAAAAATGGCCGCCCCTGACTCCACCAACATCTTGCAGAGGTGGACGCTGTTACATGAAGCTGCACAGTGCAGCGGGGTCCTGTGAAGACAACAACATTAAAAGGGACCTTGCAAGGAAGAAAAAAAAGGAAATTTGATGATATATTATGTTACTGTAATTGCAATAAAGATCTTGTGTAGATCTAAAGCAGAGTCAGCTGAGCTTTTAGTCGCTGCCTTAACTCGTTTGATCAAATTTTGTATGACTGGCAGAGTTTGTGACTTAACAGCAAAAAAAAAAACAAAAAACTGTTAGCATAGCAGATATCCAAAACTACCAAACTGCTGTCCCTTTGCTGTTAGCTTCCTTCCCAAATAGATTCACCCATAGGTGGGTCTGATCCAGCTTTATAAGCCACTATTGGGCTCATGAATTCCCCTTATTATTAGGGCTATCCCCCCTTTTTGATATCATATTGAGCTAAAAGTAGAAAAAACTGCATATACCAAGCATTTAGAGCAGTATCTGAAATCTGAAACGTAGCCTATGTTTAATATGAGCATCGCAATTCGGTCAGTATATGCAGTCCTATGAAAAATGAAGTACACCATTACCGTTTGTTTCCATAGGAATTAGAAGGGTAAGCGTTAGCACCTTTATAAAAACAGAACGAGACACCAGCATATCAGCACAAACTCCTCGTACCAGCTCTCAAGCACAGTGGTGGAGGGATGATGATTTGGGCACCTTGTACGATTGAGTTACCAAGGGCTTCTCTGTATACCAAAGTATTCTAGAGTCAAACATGACAGCTGAAGCGTCACTGAAACTAGGTCATGCAGGAGCACGATGATCCTAAGCACAGCAGGAAATCTACAACAGCTGCAATGGCCCATTCAAAGTCCAGACCTCCAAAAGAAAGATTGGGTCAAAATTCCTCCACACTGATGTGAGAGAGTGATGAAATCCTACAGAAAACGATTTCTCCAAGTTACTTAGTTTAGCTGCTAAAGGTGGTTCTGCAAGCTACTGAATCGTGGGCTAGATTTTTTCACAGCACTGCGCACATTCCATGTGAGAGGAAATAAAGAAAAGGATTAGGTCCTCCTTCAACATGAACATTTCTCTTTTTACCAAAGTTCATTCACTTCCAATCAAAGAAAGAAAGAAAAGATGTTCCTGTAATGCATTTTAAAACAACTACAGTTTAAATTAAACTAACCACGAAAGAATCAAATGCATCAGTAATTAAATCAAGCAACTTGTGGATACAGACCCTAATTGCATATTGTAATCTCCTCCTTCAATACTGCTAAGGCAGCTGAGCCAAAATGAAAGTGGAGTCAATTATCTCTGTCACTGCTGCCTCTGAGCCGAGCTCCAGCACCGCCACCACAAAGCGTGCTCATTACTCAAACTCCCTCAAGTCCTTCATGCAGCCGCTGCTCTGTTATTGGTCTCTGTATTACTGCATGACGCACAGACCGAATGAAGGCACTGACCATCCGTCACTGTCGGCTGCGTTCACGTTAACTCCAAAGTCCAGCAGGAACTTCACAATATGGTGATGACCAGCACAGACGGCGTTATGAAGAGGTGTTATGCCTTCGTCATTGGGCATGCTGGGGTTTTCCACCTGAAATAAAAAGAGATGCGTATAAAGAAATATTAGACTTGGAGAACGCCGGAATAAGTTATTAGCTGCTCACCTCCACAACGGTGATATCAGCCTGGAGAAGCTGAGAATGATCTCAGTGCAAAAGTCAGGAAACAACATGTTTTGAGCAGGTTGAAAACTGTTGAGTCTCACAGCCTCAGAGTGTAATAATATCAAACTGAGCTTTTTGTGGATCTGACTGTTTCCTTGAGAACATTAACTTCAGTTTAAAGCCTAAGAAGTCAGTAAGGACTCTCTTCTCCCATGAGTGATGGCAGGGTTTGATGTGAGGCTCTGTTTTCTCTGCTGCTACAGAGTGCATCCCCGACTATAACTTGTACAGTTCCCTGCTGAGACCTCCTCTCTACTGGCACAGATTAAAGGGAAGTATTGTCAGGAAGGTACTGAAAATGCTTTAAAACTGCCTGGTAAATGGCAAATTTGTTGAGGCAGTCTGCATGTGGGTGTAATTACTGGCATGTAAAAATATTACACTGTTGCATAACCCAATGTTTTTTTTAATGCAACACAAAAAAGTAACCTTTACAAGTGTAACCACATTGTGTGATGATTTTCAGCTCTGCTTAAAAATTATCTCAAAATCTGAAGGCTCTGCAGAAGTTTCCCTTGTCTTCTAAGAAGGCCAACTTTCCATAGTTGACCAGCTGCTACCTCGCACTTCAGAGACTATTTGTTCAACAGGACTAAAGAAAATATCATCAGGACAGCTTCTGAGTTCAAATGCACTCGTTAGTTTTTTAAGTTTACTGTTGTATGACACAAGATTTCTGTGGTTTAGGTTATTCTCCAGATGCAGATCACATCTCTGTTGATGATAACCCCTACTGTCTCTTTACTGTAACAGCATATCTCAAGCCTCATCACTCATTCTGACACATTTCAGTGTCTTCACTACAATAAGTTTCTTCTTCTTCTTCTGGGCTCAGTGGGATGCTGGATATCGGCTTCTGGCCCAAATCCTAAATGATAGCGATCCATTCGTGTCTCATCAGCGCTCCAACCTGATCACAGTCGATGTGCTTCTGCTTTTTAATCACTGACCACATCAAAAATGTCCTCAAAGACCTGTCTTGATGCCTGCTCAATCATCCAGGTAAGAGCATCATCCAAACCGACGGCCAAACTGAGGTCACTTTGATGAGTGATGAAACTAAAACAGTGCTTTCAAATGTCTGTGAGTCAGTTTTCTTGTTTTAGCTTCTGCGTTTAGGAATCATTTGGAACTATGGCTGATGTAGTTATAGAAATAAATTATATTCAACTTAATTTTACCTTTGCAAAGCAACACAGTAATCTTTGCAAGTATGAAAAGTGAGACTGTGTTATAAGAGCACTATAATTGCACAACATCATGTTCTGATTTACCTCATATATGATTCTCTGCACCAGGTCAAACTCTCCCTCCAATGACGCATCCAGGAGAAGAGCCAGAGGGTTAAACTTGACTCTCAGGCCGTGACCGGTTCGCTCTGATGACGGCTTCTTCAGGTTGGTTCGCTTTACCTGCAGCAAACAGCATAAGAGAAAGAAAATGAACCTGGTGTATTGTTGTGTGACAGATGCCCAGGTTTGATGTGTATGCTTTGTGTTGTTGTATACATACCTTAGGCAGAGTGGGCGGGGCAGGAGGAGATGGTGAAGGAGAGATGTGGCCAACTGAGTTTTGAGCAGGACTAGAGCCTCTCTGGTTGTTATTATTTTGGTCCTCTGGTCTCTCAGGTACAGGAATCGGGCTTGATTGGGTCGATGGTGAGACGCCGTTGCCAGTCTCTGCCGCTGCTGTTGTCTCTTTGGATAATTCTGTCGTAACTGCAGGAGGAGACGAACGGCGGGAATCCGAATTCAGGTTTTGGGCTTCACTCTCTGCGGCTGCTGCAGCGACCTGTTTATCTCCACGTTCTACGTTTCCATTAGCTGAATGAATGTTGTCCATGTCTCCCAAAAGGCAGTCCGGTTGGTAGAAAGTGTTGCCTAGAATTAAAGAAGGAACTTAAATCTATATATATTTAGGCACACAGATGTCACCTGACCATCATATGTCGGTGTCTTACCTGAGCTTCCCTCCATGCCTCCTGCTAATGTGTTGAACCTGCAAAAAAAACGGCAAAAACAAATTACATTTTTCCATTTTGATTCTGTTTCTGTCTTAAATTCCTGAAAGTTTTTTGTTTGTCCTGGTGCAGTTAAACATGTGGTAGCACCAACCTCTGGTAGAGCAGTTTTTGGATGTTTGGCCCCTGAGGGCCTTCAGGTTCAGTGATCGAGCTCCGTTTCTTGAGGGGCCGCGGCGCGTTGCTGAAGCGGCGGCGGAGAACCTCCAGGTCTGCATCGCTCTGGTATCGGAGCTGAGAGTGGGCTGTGGGGGGAAAAGCTTTAAAGCTACTTTCTTCTTTTGTCATTTGTTCTTGGCAAAATGTATTTTTTTCTGCTCCTGTTTCTGAGATTGTATCTTTTTTCTTTTGCTGAAATTATTCCCAAAAGCTCTTCAGGATAGCGTGATCTGTGACTGATAAGCACACTACCATAACTTAATGAGAACTTTCTTTAAGACTTACAGTATAAAAAAGATATAAATGTGATATTCTGGGATTTAAAAATCTGGTCCTGCTTTTAATGATTTCCAAGGTGTGGGCTACAATTCAAGCGGGCCAAGAGAGATAGATTTTTTAAATGTCTTTTTTTAACATGTTCTCGCATCTTATTTTTGTTATCAAGGGAAAAAGTTAAGTACAAAAAGATCTAAATGTATCATTTGAAAAAGAAAGAATTAAATATATTTTATTTGGCTCACGTGATTAAAGGTTTGGGTGTGTTTCAGGAGATTTGGAAGCAGGCTGCAGTTTGAGAATGGCTGATTTAGCTCTTTCTAAGGAAGGTCCTCTGACTCAATTCTAGGGCTGCTCCCAGGAAATCAATGCTTGACTGAACAACTGACATAAAATTTGTGGTTAAATGATGAAGGAGGCTGGAATCTGCCTTAGTAAGAATAAAAAGCTAATAAGAAGAGTATCACTCAAAGAGACCAGTGAAGACACGGGAAATTTATGAAACTATGCGAGTAATATTTCTGCAGCCAGTGTGACTAAGTGACTGGGTTACTGTGATAAACTTTAAAGTGTGTAGACATGCATTTAACACCCAAACAGAAAATAAACAAATGCATTTTTTATAGTTCAAAGAGCGTTAATTTATGCATCTTTTGCATATCTAGATTGCTTGAAATGAGCTTTTTCAATCCTTAGTGTCGTATTTAACATGATGTGACATCTTTTTCAGTGTGCAGACAAATATACTTTTTTTCAGCACAAAGTTTGGCCTAAAATGTGACAGTGCATTAAGTGCTGCTCCATCATCTGCCTCCATCCTATCCCTGGCTATCATCTGTCACACCAACCCTCTGCATGTCCTCTTTCATTACATCTGTGAATCTTTTCTCTGGTGTTTCTCGTTTCCTCCTGTCGAGGTCCAGCGTTCAGCATCTTTATCACTCTTCTTATTTTAACACAAAATGTGTTTTCTGGTATTAAACACATACAGGAGAAACATTTTAACAAAGAAAGGTGACATTTATTGGTGATTGGTTGCACCTACCAACTGGGGTGAGCTTAGTGGGACTGAGGGGACGAGGGATGTTGTCCACACTGGGTGGAGGTTGAATTTGGCCCTCGCCGCTCTCTCCTCCTTCTCCTTTTCCTCCATCTTTATCTGTAGCTTCCTCCCCTGATATTTTTACTCCTCCTCCTCCCCCCTGGAGGAAAAAGACAGGGGATGGAGAAGTGGAGGAGGAGGGGAGGATGGGTTTACCGTAGACTGTGGAGAGACAGGAAAAAGGATGGGTTATGGTTTGTTTTCACCTGCAGAAGCTGTCAAACTGTCTGAACAAGTAATTGCTGTTTAATCACCTGCTTTGACAGTAGCCCTGTTGCTCAGAGATCCGTAGTTTTTGGCCTGAGGCTGCTGTAGGTACATGCTGTAGATGGAGCTGCTGTTCATAGTAGCAGGGCCCTTCCTGGGGGACTGTGGCCTGGAGGGATGGTCCGGGACGTAGGGACGTACGGCCACCGCCGGAGGGGGATCTGTCCGCTCTGTTTGTGGGGACAGCGGGGAGGGCTGGGAGGTGGTTGCAGAACCTAAGTGCAGAAACAGAAAAACAAAGTTATACAATCAACAGGACTGAAAGAAGAAGAAGAAAATAAGCTTTTATTTTAATAAATAAAACTATTTATTACCTTGGCTTGAGTTAGGAGGGACAGAAATACGGTGCTGTATTTGCTGTGAAGAGGGGGATGATGAATGGGGGGATGAGGCGGCACCGGATCGAGGCCAACCCAGTGTACCAGGGGCAGAACGAGGCAGGGAGCTCGTGGCGCAGTGATGTGCAGCTGCCTGGTGGGTGGCACTAGGGTACGTACCATAACCAGAGGGAAGCTGGTGGGAGGGAGACACAGATATGAAGTATAACCTATTTTTTTTTCTTCTTACACCAAGACATTCATGACTGCTTTCCATGGAGATTTTCCTCCTTAGACATTTTGAGTTGAAAAGTTCACACCATCACTTCACTGCTAAGCAGAAGCCTCAAGTGAGCCTTGATACCTCTATAACAGCGCTTACAGTGCAATAAATTATTTATTATGATCACAGAATTCATGAGAATAACTAATATAACTGAGAATTACACCAGTACCTGTTCTGGACTGTTGGTCCTCCAGTCTGTTACGCTCTTAGTGATGGTGGGCCACGGTGCTTCATTGGCTGAAGGGAGAAAGCGGCAGAGAGTCAGGGAGCCGAGGAAGGGATCAAAACAGGAAAGGAAATTAAAGTGAGAAAGAAGCAAATAAATCCAAATGGAAAAGACAGATGAAAAAAGATACTATGAACGGTTAAGTAACTAAAAAGATGATCGGTTAAAGGGAGTGTATATAATGTGTATTTGTTGCATATACATGTATATTTTAATGCTGCTAAAATAGCATACACAGAGCATGTCTGTAGTTTACTCGGCAACATAAATCCAAGCGGACAATGCACTGATTCCCAACCAGGCGTACTCCAGGCGCTTACACCTTACACTTTTCAAGAGTTACAATTAAATTTTTAAAAAAAAGGGTTCTTAGCAAGAAAAAGTGAGAAAATTAAGAATGAATGGTTGAAAAGGACATCTAAAATAACAATACTAAGTAAAGGTAACTCATCAATACTTAAAATTTGTAGCCAATATAATGTAAGTTGTAATAATGCACAGTGACTGACAATAGCAGTCACAGAAAATGACTCGTGGCTGCAGTTAAACTATTTTTACTAGAAGAATAAAACCTCTAAAAAACAGGAAGCCGCTACAATCAGGGTTTAAAACAGAACAAAACTCTACAATGTGAAGTTTAACTCAGCCTCTGTCTCTGCAGAGGTGTTGTTACATAATAAACTGGCTCAGTTCAGTGCAGAGTCACAGTAGTAAATCTTCAGCCACTGTTGTCTGTGACAGCTAAGGTCAACAGCCTAGCTCAATGCTTTGGAATTTCATGGCAACTTGGCCACACCCTTGAAGACATTTAACAGGAAATAGCTTTGTGAAGAAGTCAGGTGATCTTCCAAGGTATTGCAGAAGTGGAGAAGAAATGACTGATGGAGATTCACCATCAAAGCCGTGGCGCTAAAATGGCTAAATAAGTGCTGCTAAATAAAATTCCACATAATGTTAAACTCCAGCAGCCATTTACAAACTGTTACCTAACCATTTCGCCCAGTCACGTCACAGTCCTGGCTCATACCAGACTAATACTGATTAACTCTTCAACCCAGGAGCCACGCAGTCTGTACAGTAAGTTGTGCTGCGAAACCTGTTGGCTGCTTTAACCTGCTGACCTCGGGAAGAAAACAGTCACGACAGGAAACAAGCAGTCAGTTCTGTGAGAGGTGGAAACTTGGACGCCTGCCCCTGAGAGCCCAGATTAGAAGCAGTCACTCAGTGTTATAGAGGAAAGACAGTTTACAGCACAGTCACGGTACGTCCTGGTGCAAACGACAAACGGGTCATGCAGTAAAGCGTTTCAGCCTCACCACTCAAGTCTCTTTAGTTCACCATTTTTAAGCGTTTGAGTTTGATATTCTGTCTGTAAAATATGATGTTGCCATAATCAGCAGCCACAGCATTTAATGCAAACAAATGATTAAATGCAATGCTCTGCTGAGAAATCTCTCCTCCTGCCTTTGACGTAGATAACAGCCCAGCTCTGTATCTGAACAGCATCATGGTGGCTCTGTGGTTCCAGGCAGACCATTCTGTTTCTGAGTTCTCCCCTGTGAGCTCCAGTTTCTCTCTCCATTTAAAAACATCTAATTTGATGCTGTGAGGACGCTTTCACAAGAGAGATTTCACTTCCTGTTTAAATAAAGGTTTGGCTGAAAAACTGCACGCTCATACAGTAATGAAATCAACAGGCACACATGCTAAAGCATAACCTGATTTATAGTCTATTTTTCTTTAAATGCGAACATGTTTTACAAGATAAAATCATTTCGTATTAAAAACAGAGCGAATTCACGACAATGTTTTTGAAACGTGAAGCATAATTTTGATCTTCTTTTGCTGCTGGTTCAGTGAATTTTGGTCGGAGAGAGACCAAAGCTGCAGTTTTGGAATCTGTGAGATGTCAGCTTTCAGCCCCGACAGCGTGTCCGTGGACGTGCCGTCAGGTGAACGGTCCACACTTTGTGTTTACATCTTTTTGCGGGATCCGTTTACCTGCTCTTTAATAGTTCTGCTGGTTGTTGAAATAGTTTTGTGAGCTTTAACATGAGATGCTGGCATTTCTCACAAAATACATTTATATTCAAAAATCACTTCAGGATTTAATGAATCGATATTGCATTTTCCAAACTAAAATCGATTTGAATCGGAGAAAAACGATTTTTTAAACACATCACAATTACTGAGGTCATATATATATATATAAGAGAGGATCACGATCATTTTCTCACAGACTTTTATATAATCTGACTTCTATTTACAGCTGGAGAAGTCGCACCCTGATGGCCATGAATTCATCACACGTACTAAAGATAGCTACAATTCAAACTTTCTCTCATTCATGTGCAATGGCCCCCTGCCCAGTAGACTGTTGATTTGATTTACAACTACGAATTTTCCGCATTACATAAGCAGCGACATTAATAGAACTGTGGCATTTGCTTTGGGATTCAAGAACACAATGGGTGTTAAAACAAAGCTGGTTGAAGACTCTTTATTTTACTTCAGTGTAGGTGAAAAAAATAGATATCGGCAGTTGAAATTGTGTTTTTCCACACTGTGTAGGAAGAGATGTCGGAATAAATAAACTCGAGTCTAAAGCCAGACTTTGGTTTATTTTCTGAAGCTGTGCTTCTTAACCCTGAGCAGCTGTTGGCTATCAGATGGCATGTCTGCACCCTTGTACACTCGACCTTTACAATTTAGGGTCCTTTGAGCAGCTGATTCAATTATGTTTTGTCTCTTTACCATCTGGTCTGCATAGCGGCTTAAACATGAGCGTGCTCGGTTTGAATGCATCCACTCTGGGAGTCAGATTAAGAAAATGTGTGCTGTGAATGCCCTTTTCTATTTTGGGTCTTTGCAGCTGGCTCCAAAAGTGAGTCAGTCCCTATAAACTCCCGTGTTAAAATGTTCAAGTTTACAGCAGATATGAACACATTTAGAACCACATACACAGAAATTTTAAGCTCTCTGTATTAAATTTCCCCTTCATGACAATAACGGAGGTCAACTTTTAGTAAACTCAGTTCCTTAAACTGAACCGCTCAACTACATCTGTGGCATTTTGGAACATACTGGAATCTTTTTAAAATCCATTATCTGAAAATGACAGTGATCGCTATGTAGACTGCTGGACTAACCTCCTAATTAACTTGCACTAATTAGCAGGAATACAGTCTATGATAACTGCTCATGAACATGTTTTTCTGACACACACACAGAGACACACACACACACTTATTCCTGGACAGAAAAATAACTTCTTGCTGGACTGGGATGGTTTATAAATCGAATAAAACATCTTGCTCTGAATGAGCACCATCACTGGATCTTTCTAAAAATATATATTATATATATATATATATATATATATATATATATATATATTATATATATATATATATTATATATAGTATAATAAAAATAGTGTCAGCCCTAGATTTGAAACCTCTGACCTGATTTGAACCGATTTAACGAATGTTATGTGCCTTGTGTATGAGGAGCTGTACACAAAATCTCAGTCTCCTACCTGCAAAACTGTGTTTTCTACAAGGCTCCAAATCTGCTGTCTCAGATCACACGTCTGACATTAACTTTCTATGTTAACTCAAGCTGCATGTCTCCAGTTACTCTCAAGAGCAGCACCCTGACCTCCTTAGAGGCCATATTTACAGAGCCATACCACCAAATATTCACCCTAAAAAACTCACACAAGCAGTTTCTAGATAACAGAATGTTTATTAAATGTCTGCTCAAAAAATCTATTAAGTGAATCTTTCGAGTGGTCATCCCCTTCTTTTTCACATAAACATGTGGTGCTATGTTGAAATAATATTATAGCCTATAAACTTCTAATTTTCACTACTATCCCATACCCTGTTTTGATACTTTACACTTGGATTTGTGTAAGGTGACGTTTGGCAACTGAGCAACTTGTTTTTTGTGTAAAAACGAGGAGTTAAGGCTGAAAGTGCTGCTAGCATCGTGCTATCACCAATAAACCCAGCGGTGAGTAAGTGTGTTTAGTGGTTTCTCCTGGACTCACTGTTACTGTCGCCCCCCTGAGGGGACAGAGGCCCCTCCCACCGCTCAGTGGGCTCTGACAGGACGATGTCTAAATCTGACTCTTTCCATTGGCTGGGAGGCTTCCTGATGGCACTCCTCTCTTCCTCTGTAAGGCCACACCCACCACCACAGACAACACCAACCACGAGACAGCAACACCCACCAAACAACAGCACAGACGTAAACATCACCACCATGACATCGGAATGACGAAAACAACAGCGAGACCCACACCAGCACCACAACACATTACAAAACAGCAATCACAGAACCACCACATTAAATCATTGAACATTGGAGAGAACACCGACAGAGAAGGGGAAGAGGGAAAAAACACGACAGGAGAAAGAAATGGAAGAAGAGCAAGTTAGAGGTCAGACAGTGATAAAGACAAACCAAGTCTGGTAAAGCACAGAGACTTAAAATGGGGGAAAAAAACAAAACAAAATAAACATGCACCAACCTGAGAGGGAGCGAATGTGGCTGAGAGGGGTGGGTTTGGGCGGTGGGTCAGCTGGGAGCGGGTACCCTGGCTCTTGTCTCCCCTCGGATGGAACCTGGATGTAGGGGCAGACAGCTGCCACTCGACCCGAAACTCCAGCACCGGGGTGGGAAGAGCTTTGAGGGGAGGACAGAGTGCCTCCATTCATACGACTTAACTGAAGTGGACACACACAGACACCCAGAATGAGACTCATATAACATGATAAAGAAAGACCAGACTTCTTTGCAGACTGCACCTCTGCTCTCTTCTTATGCAGGCGTTCTCTCAGGTCACCGATGCGTTGATCCATCACGGTCACCTGGGCGTTCCTCTTGTTCAGCAGCTCCTTATTCTGGGCCAACTTGCTGCTCTGCTCCAGATTGTGCCGGTTACGAGCCTTAAAAACCCCCAAAACATTTTACTCACATTTATGATTTCTGACACCCAAAGCAGGCAGGAGAAGGTCGCACTAAACATCTTTTTTTCTGCAATATTTTTATTATGTTTTTGATTGGTTTTAAAATAGCTGTGATCAGACAGCCACATTATATCCACTGTAGGTACCAAACTAGTATAACCTCATGGCATTTACAGTGTTTATTGCATTGCTTATTTGCATGAGATTCTAAAACATATTGTTCCCACATGCTTAGATGGTTTGGTGGTGCAGCGGAGGTGTTGGTAGAACAGGTGTCCTTTGTTTTTCCAACCAGATTGAGACATAAACATTTACTACACATCTTTTCAATTAGCCGTAAAGATTGCTTGGCAAAGGCCAAGTGTTTGCTCAGGGTATAGTTTACCTGCAGCTCCTGGTAAAGTTTCCTCAGCTCCAGAGCTGCAGGGCCTGAAAGAGGCGATCCCTTATGACCAGTGCCTGCACCCTGAGGTCCCGTGGGTGCCCCCTGACCTGGTGCACCAGAGTGTAGCTGCAGGCGTCCTCTCCTCAAATCCTCCAGCTGCTGAGTCAACTGTTAGACCAAAATTAAATACATATATGTGCACATATATCTTATCAAATCAAATCTGCTTCAAAGTTTATAGAAACCAAATAAATTTTCGTACCTGGTCGACTCTGATCACCGCAGTCTGCAGCTCCGCCTGCTTCTCCTGAAACAGGCTGCTCACATGGTCAATCTCTGCAGCTACACACAGAGAGCAGGACATCAGATTGAAATTACATCGCTGTAGTTATTAAGATTTTAGTGCTCAGATTCTACAGAAATACATATAAACACCGAGCACGCTGTAAGTGACTGAGTAAATGGTCAAAAAAAATCCCTCACGCTGCAGCATCAAGGCTTTATGAGGTTAAATTCATGGTCTTTTAATATGCAGTCGTTTACTTCAGGGCCTGTAATCCACAGTCACCAACTCTACAGTGTTACAGAGTGTTTAGGCTTACAGAGGTTTCCGTTGATCAGTTTGCTGTAGTCGACTTGGCCTCTCATGGCTCGGATCTTCTTCAGCTTCGCTTCCTGCGTCTCCACTCGCTCTTTGAGCCGCTGCAGCTTCTCAGCTTCAGACTGAAAAAGAGAAGTCAGTGTTTAAAGTGGTTAAAAACTCCCCATACACTCAGGTGGTGGCAGTTCCAGTCATTTAGGTATACTGAAAGGATACCTGCTCTGTAATTTAACTAAACTGTGACCCAAGATGCAGAAAAATACACGTTTTAGTTGATTATTTACTGTCTCAGTTTCAGGAATAAATGCCTACAATGTGTTTAATTTGAAGATGCTCAAATGAATTCTGAAGGTTATCCAATGAAAGCGCAGGTATTTGCTTTACTTGGAAAATACTTGCAGACAGCAGTAATCAACAGACAGAGCTTCAGCACCTGTTAACATTTAGCCCTCTGACAGACAAACAGGAAACTTAACCTTCAGCGAACTGGCCTCTAGGTTAGACTGCAGTCACATTATTAGATATAAACCACATAAAGGAAGCAGTATGCAGATTATTGTATTTTAAACTGTATTAGTTTGATGAATATATTGCTCACACAATTGTGAGTAAAGCATAGAGTTTAACTTTAAATAGGGTGTCCTTGTGCTGTATAGACTCAAAGGAGACTAACAGAGGTGTGGATCGCACCTGTGACTGTCCCTGGTTGGATCTGCCTCCTTGCTGAAGATACCTCAGTCTCTGTTCCTGCAGGAAACAAAAGTACAGTGAAAGTAGAGTCATTTCCAGACTTTCATTTATTTCATTTGAAAAGTGGCATGGCAGTTTTAAAGAAACTAAATCATGTTTTGCAAACCCAGCCAGAAAAAAACTAAAAAGTACTATTTTTATATTATAAAAATAAGATTATCTGGTATACCAACTAAACTTAGCGAGGTTGAGCCCTTTTTCACTTCGAGAACCTGAAAGCCTGTTTTCTAAATCAGCTCACTGACTGAGGAGGATCCTACACAAACACAGGAGCAACAGTGGGATTTGTTCCAGCGCTTCAATCAGCAGAATTCAAATTTGATAAACGTGTTGGTGTTATTCGGTTACGTTTTCAGCACTGCCTGTTAAATCCAACTAAATGACTATAGAAATGAAAACTACGTTTCAAGTGGTTTTAAAAGAGCCTCTGACACAAATATTTTGGGTCTTTAATGAATTCAGGCCGGTGCTGTCGACTGATTGGCCAGTTTGCTGTCTGGCTCATTATTTGTCAAGCTGTCATTCAAAAATTTCACGAGTTCTCAGTGAAAAACAAATCACATTCAGTTTATGCACCGATAACAGAATTATTTCACGGTGCTCATGAATTTGATTTCCTCTGTGACCTTTCCAGGGAGTGCCCAACGTTTCGCCCTGTGACAGATGAAATAGGCCCCAGACCCCCACTGCAACCCTGAATTGGTTGAGTGGTTAAGTGGTTAAGAAGATTAATGGAAAGATGGATAATATTTCCTGGTTTTTGGTGCTTTGAGAACACATGCATGTGTTTTCACATTGTTCCCTCTCATTTTGCACACCTGCATGTTAATCTTATTTTTCATAAATAAAATCTTATTTCAAATGCTGCTGAAATAGATGAGTGTGCCGCTTCATACCATGCATCCTGTTGTACACACATAATACCAGATTATATATATATATCAGCAGCACTAGCACCAGCAGCTTATTGCCGTGTTTAAGTGTTTATCTTTACTCTACATAAAACATGCATTTTCTGGACCATCACATCTGCAGCTACACACAGCCGTCATCTATCTCAACCTCAACTTTTACTTGAGCCTTAAGATCTTAATAAAGCTGAAACTGTAAGTCAAACTTGGAGACACCAGTTACCCCACTCGTCTAATATTTTACCAAAGAACAGAATGTCAGATTCCTCATTAATGAGGAATTAATTAAAGGCTGGCATCACTTTACCAGGAGCAACAGTGAATTGGAGTACTTAATGACTTAAGTACAGTTTCCACAAACTGCAAAGAAATCTAGTGGGATAAACTGGGCCCTTTGGTGTGAAAGTACTGGTCCGTGGTCCACATGTTGGATGCCCATGTGTTAGACCTAACAGTCAGCTGGTCTTCTGCATTCATAAAATATGAATTATTCATTTAAACAAGAAGTGTTTTCAGTGCTGAATAGTGAGGGCAGGAACACTTAATCATCTGGCCGTGCACATCCTTAGTCAAAAGCATAATAGTATAATAACTGCCATGCATGCAGTTTATTTTCACCCGATCATCACATCCAACTCCGAAGACCATCAGCTGCTATTGATTTTCATTTAAGCTTGTGTGTATCTATGTATCTGACACACACAATAAACTACAGTGAGGAGACAGAGAAAGGCTGTGATGTGTGATGCTGACTGAAGCAGTTTACACCACTCACTCTGTATTTTGCAGGTACATAGTACGGCTGACCTGTGTGTGTGTGTGTGTGTGTGTGCGCGTGCGTGCGTGTGTGTGTGTGTGTGTGTGTGCATGCGTTTGTGTGTCTCTCTCTTTCACATACACACACAAAGGGGAGGAGAAAAGGGCATGTTGGCAGGAAGCTGCCCTGCTAACACATTACATAAGAGAAGGGTGTTTAATTACAGACGTAGTGCAGGAATAAAAGTTTTTATGTTTTCGACTTTTTATTTTCCAGGAAGTCATCAATCTACGTTTCGTTATATTAATGTTGAGAAGACAGAAAATGTTTCTACATCAGCGCCTGGGATTTTTTTCATCCAGCAAGGAAATGCTTGAGCAAGCTGGAAGGAAACACTTAATAGCTGTCAAATTACAGAAGCAGTTAAACTGCTGCTTTAAAAAAAAAGAAAAATAAAAAAGCTGGATATCAGCATTAAACTGACAGGCAAAAGAAATCACTTCCACAGCAGTCTTGAAAAACTCAAAATGGCCAAATAAAAGTTTGTGGTTGATGCATTTTATCGAAAACTTTACCAAATGAATGCCGTTTGGCTCACTTTCCTGACTCCTTCCTGGAGTACAATACTGGGTAAACTTCCCAGCAGCTGTAGGTCCCTGCTGAACTCATTTCCTGCTAACTCAGAAGGCCACTTCCTGAATCTGGGGATGGGGCTGAATGACCATGATCTGTGTCTCCAGATATTTTCTCACATGTGCTGCAGCCCTGAAGCTTTCGAAACATCAGCCAAAAGAGTCAAAAGTGAGAAAAAGTCGAGTTCACACCACATCAAAAAAGAAGCATCTTTACCCCTTTCTTTGGTAAAGACCTCTGTTCGGAATCCAGGCAGTATTTGTTTATCCCCAAGGGGCAATTAACATACAACAGAGCAGCATAACGTTGACGAGGAGGACAATAAGAACAATAAGAACAAGCAATAAGAGTGAGACAATAAATACACAGAATATACAGTTTTAAAATTACACAGTTTTTAAATTAAAGTGACTGAAAGGTGAATAAATAACTGTAAGTGACTAAAAGTGAATATGTGTCGGTAGTATGAAAAGAGTGTAGAGTAGTTTATGTTTCTGGTGTGGGAAATGGTCTTATCTGCTGGTGTTAAAAAGCAGAGTGGCTTTGGGGACAAAGGTGGCTCTCCTCCTCTCAGTCCTGCAGGAAATGCAGCGGAGGCGTCGCCCAGAGGGGGGGGAGAGAAGAACATGAAAGCATGGGTCTATGCTGCATTGTATCAATGCTTCATGTTTGTGGTGGTGGTTTAATGGTGCAGGAGATATTTTCCTGGCACACATTTGGCCCGGTAGCACCAACTAAGTATTGTTTAAATACCACAGCCTGTTTGGTCTACAAGTCTAACTTCTTTTTTATGGTCAGCCTAGCTAAAAATCCATAGCTCAGTCTTCTGCAACAAAGCCGGCTGCGAGGAAAAACAAAACTTGCGTTTACAGTTCCAACACTCTGAAATGGGCAAGAACAAACTGAGCCTGTGGTGCTGTAGTTGCGTTCCTATTTTTAAGTTCAGCTCCTATGTGAAGGCTTTCCAAATGTTCAAACGACCCAAATTATGTTGTTCTAAAACAGAAACTCTTTCATGACAAAACAGACGCACTATGTAAAGACCCACACTGTCCAGTCTCTCAGATCTGCTCAAACTGTCTCCCTTCAACATCAACAATGTGTGCACATCTACAACTGACGGGGTATATATGTACTTGAAAAAAAACAAGGACAAAAAAACTTAATCTGGGCGTAGCAATATTTTGACCCATGTCACCTTGGGCTTAAGGGGTTAACGTGCAAACTCCCCAGCACAAACTTACTGTGACCTTCAACTGTGCGAGTTTTCATCGATTTGTGCTGATGTGAGAAGAGCGCTGGTAATAGTCTGGAGAGCAGCTGTCATGTGCGCTTCCTCCTGCACGCTCCACCCAGGCAGCTCCCTCAGGTAAACCTCACTGAGTATTTCTAAACCAGACTATCTCCTGTGTGGTGCATGTAAGAAACTGCAGCCTCGGAAAAAGTCTTAACTCAATTCTCCCCAGCCTACGTCTGAAAACGACATCTCTCCTCCAGAGCCAATCTTTCACGTCGTTCCTCAAACCCTGAACTCAATCACACACACACACACAAAAAAAGATGCATGTGATGTGATGCGCACACACATTCATCTGAGGCTCCAGGGGCCTCAAAGCCGACCTTTTCAGACAGACTCTAATGTAGCTAACCTTACATTAACTGACAGGCAATCCATCCAGCAGCTCTGTGTGCGTGTACAGTATGAGTGAGTGTTTTACCTTGGCGAGCAACATCTGTTGCTGAGCCTCTATTTGTTGTTGTTGTCTTGTGGCCATTTCTTGGAGCTCAGAGAGGGTCAGCTCCACACGGGGAACCTACACCGGCACACAGGGGTTATACATTAATACTTTATGTACATAGAGACAGACAGTGTTTTCCCACAGTTTCCATCCATTACACGTCTCACTGTTGCTGTCGAGATGAAAACCCAAACTGTGACAGGAGATAAAGCACAGCTGCACACATATATCACCTCACATTTTAGGTCACTGAGCAGCTTCACTGAATGTTATTAGGCAGGCAGCTGGTGGCTCTGGAAGAGCGACAGAATTATAGTTTAGGGCTAAGAAAAAAAAAAATTGCCAGAATCATCCCCTTTCCCTCACAGCATTTCCTTACAGATACATCTCTGGGAGAGTGCTTTGTTCAGGAATATCTTTCTAGAGACTGATGTGTGTTTGCGTGTACGTGTGAGGGTGGGAAACGGGGAGGAATGCCTTTAGCAGACAACAGCGGAAGGTTTCAACCCAGCTACATCCTACTATTGTGCACATTTACTTATGAACACACACAGACACACACTGCACCTGGGGTGTTATATTCATTTCCAGTTCACAGTGAAGTCAGACAAGCTGGATATGACTACATCTGTCCTTTAATAGCCAGGTTATCAGAACACGGCTCCACAATTACAATACTTTTCAACAGACTGCGGTACAGTATTATAATATTTAATAATTATTGTTTGACAGTTTGACTCCTACAACACCAGAAAGGTCTGGCCTCTGGAGATATTTTACTATCAGCGTGTGAATGACTGATTATGACATAATACACTAAATCAACTTAAGCCATCCTAGGACAGAGAAAATGGAGTTTCAACATGGGATTAAAAATGTGATCATGCTATTAAACTTCAGACAGGCTTACAGCTTCATTTAGTTTAACCCCCCATCCAGAGTAACATTGACATATGAATATCATCCATCACTCCCATTTGGGCTGAACAAACTCCACCTATTGTGCTGCAACTGTATTCTTATGCAAAGTTAATCTCAAATCTGAAGCTTTTCCAAATGTCAAAATGACTCAGATGATGTTCTACAAAAACAGAAACTGTCTTATGGGCAAATGAATGCATGAGCATTAAAGATGAAGACTCTGTACACTGATCTCTATTGAAATTTGCTCCCATCAACATCTTCCATTTTTAAGACTCGTCGTGTGACTGTTGTTTCCAATTTTGAACCCCTAACAGATGAGCCATCTGCCCACATCACCGGGCGAGAATGTGTGTTGTGAATAATTTTTTAAAAAATTGCGAACTTTTCAGTTATGCTTAGTTTATTGCATTACATCACCAAGAAGTATTTATTTCCTTGGTCAGCCTTGGAAACACTATATGATTAGTATAGTAGATTACTTATACGGCACAGATATCTATTAGGGCAGTTTGATCATCTAAAAGGAATCAGTCGAGACCTGAGATAAAACCCTGAGGAATACCAGAGTTAACAGATTGTGGTGGGACAACATTATAAGTAATATAAACGAGTATGGCAAAATCTAAGATGGTTATTAGTATAAATGATATGCTCACAAACAGTGAGTATCAGAGTATCAGTAACAGAGGTCTAAACAGTAAAACCAGTGCAGATGGGCCTTAAATGGGAATCGCTTGTAAAGGCCAGCAGGGGGCGGTTGCTCAAGAACAAGACAGATTGGATAAAATTCTTGGCAACTGACTCGTGATTACTTTAGTAAACCCTTTTCTCTTGAGTTTATGGGCTCAATCACTAGTTTCAAGTCCAATGTAATAAAACATGATGTTTATTTTATAAATTATGGTCCTTATTAGTGACCCTGAGACCTTGAGTATGCAATGTCCTTCGGTTTCTTTGTCATGTGTTTTCACTTGTGTCATCTGGTTTCAAAAAGCTGAAATGGTAATGGCCAAAATGCTTCAGAAACCAGCCATTACAATGTAATTGGCTGACATTACAGTGGCTACTTCCTTCTTTATACTCAGTCTTTGGATACACAGTTTTAAAGGGTCAGTTCATCTATGTTCAGTGCACTAAAATCATTTTTACTTATGTGAGTTCTGAGTTCTGATCATTGCAGGTTTTTGCCAGATGTCTGCTTGAAACCATGGACGTTTTTTGTTTTTTTGAAGGCCCCCAAAGAAAAAAAAAAATCCCAAATCAGTCTTTTTATCTAAATAATCTACAGTCTTCTCTGTGAGAGCTACATTGGTGTCTGTTTGACTTGAAATGATTATTGGCAGTACTTCAGTGGCCTGAATTTGGGGACTGCTCCGATTATCAGACACAGAAACTGGAGACAGAAGAGTCTGTTGTTACTGGCATTTAATGGGACTTGGAGTAAGGGTTGAGTAGTTCAAGTAAAAATGATTTTTTTTCCCAGTGATAAGACAGAAATAGTTTCCAAACGTTAAATTAGGGTCGAAGAGGACGGAGGCCACTGCAAATTTTGTTAAATGTGTGAAAAAATATTGATGTCTAAGTGGAGACTTAGATGTGCCATGACTAAGGGAGGCGCTGATGAATAACTCCATTACCCAGAACAGCGCCCTTGGGTTATGACACAAGTTATGAAATCAGTGAAACAAATTAAAATCATCATCAATTTAACTACTGGAAGCTCTAACTCTGGCAGCACTAGTGCTATGCTAAATATCAGTATTGGTGATTAATAGCCCTGACAGCCACACTGTGCTATAGACCGTGGACCGAGTTACGTAAATCTACATAAAACATAATGCACACATAGTGTATTCCACTGCAATACATCATGTTTTAGACAGTGACATTATGCACAATACACAAGGTTTTCCAGGCAGTGTCGCCACATATCATTAGCTAATTGCTGACTTTTGGGATCCTGTGGTTCCTCACTTTGATGTGCAACAATAATTGCATTGTTTTCTCATATCTCAAGAGTAATATCAGAGCCAATCAGCATAAGACACTTTAAGATTTTTTATATTTTTTAAGCCCTTTCAGTCTGATATCCCTTTAAAATGTATATAATGCATAGATGGAACTACAGGGTGGGGCGTCAGACAAGCAGCAAAAAGGAGTTTTTATGCTTACATGCAGTAACCATACGTGGTTGATGAAGGATGCAGTCAGACTAGGCACACTTGTCTTGTGCCATGCCTGAGCCTGATAGCCTCCCCTCCACACAGACTAAACTAAAACTGCGCAACAGCATGCTTCAGTCTTTTCTGTCCACTGCTGAAACCACTGCTCCTTTCTCTCTCTCCTATCAGTTCCTCGTTCTTTTAGTGCACGCTCTGCGTTTTTATCATGAAGAAAAGTGCTTTTGCAGAGCATCATGAGGTTCATGAGTTTATGTATTTATGCTTTAATTGGTGTCGTTTCACATCGGCCTTTCTCGTTGCCTTATTGATTTATGAATTTGTTAACAAGGCGATTTTCAGTTAAACTTCAGAAATGCTGTTGCTGGTGCCAAAATGTTGAAGTTCTACATAGTTACAACATGCACAACATGTCCTCTCGGACCCACCTGTTAAAGTCAGACAGGGCAGAACGGATGGATGGTCTGACTTTGGGGGTCAAACATGCTCAGGCACAGCTCTGATCACCTAAAGTGAGTATACACTTCATTTTTACTCTGATATAAAGCCGTCCAGAGACCATATATAGATTTCAGGCACCTAGTGACATAATGTGGCAGGACCTGAGATAAATTCTCTCAACTTCCACAGAGTGCAGGATGCCACTGATTGACATATGACCTCATGGTAAATACATTAGTGGCTTACCAAGGCAACCAGAGCCTAAAATGCCCACTAGTGACCAGCAGTCAGTTTCAAAGTCATGCATGATGATGGACTCGTTCCCAGTTGCAGCTTAATGCCCGTACAGTCACCTGGATGAGTTGCCAGCATTCTTTCTCATGCTACATGCATAACAATCCTACTACTGCCAGCACTGAGGACCTTTTAGAGCTGTTCATTTGAATATGTTTTAGTAAAATTTTTCCTGCCGTGTATGATTTTTGTTCCATTTTTCACGTTATTCATTAAATTATATTGTCATCTTTTTTCTGCCTCTGCTCTCCATCACAGCCGAGCCTGCTCCTATTTTACCTTTAAGCAAGAAAAGTAATTGTTTTCTTTCTATTGCTTTTGTATCACGAGTGTTCGCACAGGAGTACATGTGTGTGTTATTTGAAAATATACTAAACTAGAACCCTGCAATGCATCAGCACTTTTCACATTTTGGAGCCATCGCAAATACATTTTAGAAGCATCTAGAAAAAGCTCTGAAGATTCGACTGCAGCTGGTTTCAGAAAAGCAAACATGATACGTATTGCTCTGTAAACACCCTGAGCAGTTTTGCTGACTTCCTCAGTTTAAAAACCTCCGTCTGCAGGACTGAGGCTGAGGATCGCTTGTCAGTCAAAGCCGTGTGTGAGACAGTTTTCCTGGGATTTCCTGCCACTGAAGTCCTCTAAATGCTTCAGCTTCTAGCTTTCCACTGATTCAAATGGGAACATGCACTCCAGCTACAGGAAAGTTAAAAATTCACCTGACACTTAGCCACAGTGTCATGCCGCTCATGCTGTTAAGACACTCTAACACATCCTGCAGACTGTGTTGCTGCGAGCCCCCCGCTGACGTTAACATGCAGTTCCTACCAGCATCCCGCTGTGCTGTATTTACCTGCAGGCTGTCCCATGTGATCCTGCAGGAGCGGACTTTAATTTTGCTGCATTGTCCTTCAACAGTAAATTCCTGCACCAAATCTACCTCATTCCACTCCATCCTCACAAGCGTCTCAGAGACACGCCGGACCTTAATGCTTTCTGATGGAAAAGCGTTGCCAGAGGCTCGCACGAGAACCGCTTAAAGAGGAGGAAATGAGAGCGATCCTTATCACAACTTTCCCTCTCGTCCGCCTGGTGATGTGCTGAGATTTACGACACTCGCTCTTCCTCTCCCTCACTCGCTCGGCCCACACACCCTCCCTTCTCCTCCTTTCTCTCTCTCTCATAAAAACTCTCGATTATTAGTGCGTTCTCATGTGACGTTTTTACAGAGAGCAAATCCCACCGATGTGACACCGCTTTCAACTGCCACAGTAAACATGAAAAAACACAAATAGGTGCAAAACGAGAGAAGGAACTCCTCGCCGCCCTCGTTTTCTGTTTTCTTTCAGTATCACCCTTTTTTTCTGTTATTGCTCTCAGTTTCCAGTCTCTTCGACCTCAACCTTTTCTTCATCTATTCGTCTCCACTCCTCCTTCACTTTTCTCTCTGCTTATTAAGCCCAATCTTTCTCCATATCTGTATTCTTTCATCTCTCTTTCTCTCAGTCCTTGTCATTTCTCTGCAGCTGGCTTTTTGCTGCAGCGACATCCTCTCTCACTCTCTTTCCCTCTCTCTCCTCTCACACCTCCCTTTTTCTTTCTCCTACTTTCTCTCAGAAGGAAAATCACTGCACCACAGCCTGATGGGGCACTAGCTGCTCTCATCAACCTCTGCCTCCTGCTCCAGATGTGTGGTGTAAAAAAAGGTGAAGATGATCAATGGCTGTGGTAGTATGCATGGTGCACACACTATACAGTTAACAGCTGACTGCTGCTGCGTCATATTTTCATTCACACACACACACACACACACACACACACACAGAGTGACATGTGACTCAGATGCTGCATCACACATTTTCATCTTTCACACAGACAAACACACATTAGTTATTCCTCAAAGACATCAAAACACTCACAACCTCCGGCTTTTAATGGAAATCACAGCCAACAGATATGTTGCCAGAGCAACACTAAAATCATTTTAGATATGACAATTTTGCACATATCCAAGAAGAAATAGCAAAAATGTTACTTTTAACAGTTTAATAGCTGAAGCTCAGATCTCCCAATAATTTAATTCTTACAATGTTTTTCCAAACTTGACTAAAACGTGACCTCTTTTCCATGAGTGACTCCGGGAAGGTTGGCAAAATTACTTGGGTTTTTAAGGAAATGGAAATCTTGACGCTAGTATCTGCAGACTGCAATGGAAACACCAAGAACATTAACTATTGCACCGGTGCCATCAATGAGTTCAGTCTGCAGCCACTTTAAGAGGAAAGAGGATCACAGGGCATTCTTCTAAGTTGGGTAAGTTTAAGGGAGATACCAGAGCTTTTAACTTAGTTACTTCTGTAACTAAACATCAATTACATTTAAAGTGTTTTCTTGTTGCGGCCTGCATTGTTGTATTGTTGTTCTAAATGTTTTATAGCAGGTGAATAGTCCTTTTCAGGTTTGCATCACTCATTTAATAATGCATAACACAAAGATTTCAATAAAGAGCTTCAATATTTTTGTGGATACAGTGTTATAGATGCAACATTAGGATGTTCAAAGATCCATATTTGGATGGAGGTGTTCTGGTGCTTTGTTTGGCTCCAGGATCCACATTTTGGCTGTCAAAACCCTTTTCCACCAACACTTTGCTGTGCCAGTGCAGAGCCAGTTCTGTCTTGGTGTCTTTTCAGAAACAGCCCACATTTACAGAATAACGAGAACAAAATATTTACTAATAGAAGTTTGGATCCACTTATCTGTCCTGATTTTCATTTCATTGAAGTTACCCAACTTTTTATTTTTGGTGAGAACATGTGGAACCGGTTCTAGACTGGAAAAGAGCAATTTGTGCCGTGGACTCCTGATAGACAGAGGAGCTGCTTTCTCACTCATGGTCCAGGTGGAAAACAGTGATCTGAAGGTGACTGAAGTTTCTGACGTGCTTTTTATGCTGTGCCACGTTTCCTTCTTGAAAAAATGATTAAACATCTACATGCCTGGATGGCAGTAGAGTGTGTGATCTGGGTTTTGATCTCAACCATGTGGGTGCTCACCTGCTTTGCTCAGTTGTCAGTTTTGTTGGCTCTAACTGGTGGAGAAGTCCTAGTTTAGGGCAAACAAAATTGGGCTACTTTGATGACAGCAGGGGGTGGCTTTGAGGCTTGGATAGTAATATTTGGTGTCAGACAACCCTGGCAACCTGAGCAGTGTGTGTTTTTCAGCTGTAAACTACTTTCTCATGGTGCAATTGTGCCTATAATCTGAAGCACATGGAGATATTTGACCTTCTTAGTGTGTGCACACTGCCTTTCTCAACAGTGCTCAAAGTTATGCATACAAACACACACATTGTTCTGATCATAGGTCCCTCCAGTAATAAAACCCATCCCCTGCCCATCTGCTGTGCACCTCCAGTAAAAATATTTTTCTAAATTTACAATAACAGCCTTCAGACATTCCTGAAGCCCCAGGTCGGACCAAAGGGGAAAGCTCTGTTATCAGAAGAGCTTCAGTAACCAACATCCACACAGCAGGGTGGCCTGGTGGCTGCAAACATCCTATAACTGAAAGAGCTCATCTTTGAACTTGTCCATCATGTGACCCGACTGTGTCCTTGGGCAAAGCAGTTAACAGCATTTAATTTAAGAGTATAGGAAGCTTCGGCACAGCAGCACCTGGACTTGCATCACAGGAGGCAATTCAAGTCCGCAGACGCCCCTGACCCTGGACTTTGAAAGGCTTCATATTAATTTAAATCAACACATCCCCTGATGTGTGTTTGGTCAAGAGCGCTCAGACACACCTGACTGCTTAATATATCCCACAGCAGCGCTCCCACATGCAGCTGGATGGGGTTGAGTTACACAGAGCAGGATCAGCAAACTGAATTCTGTGCCTTAACTCAAAGTGTGTGACGGCCCTCGTGGTTACTCTGAGGTCAGGGGCGAGGTTTGTAAGAGGGTGTGCTGCAAAGGGAAAGGCCTGCAAGACACCAGCATTAAGTAGTAACAACTACTCATTTATTGAGCAACTAGCACTGTGTCAGTCAGATGAGAAACTATATGCTAACATGTTTTTCCTAAACAGAATAAAGTGAAACAACACAGCGACCATCTCTAATTTAGAGTATGCGTCAGTACTTCAAAGAGCGGCACAGTTTGAGAACACAGACGGCTCCCTGATGCAGTTAATGTCAGCATGAAAATTTAATTTCATCTGTAATTTATTATGCATCAGTACTATTGGCTAACAGCAGGACAGTATATGCTAACAAAATGCACCACTCAGAGCCATGCCAAATGTGTCAGAGGGAATCCTCTTGATTTGTTTTTTCCCTGAGATGCGAGCATAAAAATATGACACATTTCCCAACCAGCCCCATCTGGACTGGTCATTAGACAGCCATGCCCTCCTTTCCCTAATACTGTTAGAAACTAGCTGGGTCCTGACCAGGTTGGTGTATGCTAATAGCTATTATATGCTACCAACAAACAGAGTTAGTACTTCAAAAACTTTCAGTTTACAATTAAATGTCTATCAGTGTTTTTTGACTTGTGGCTCCGTGTTGCAGTAGTTAAGGCTTCAGGCCACCAAAGATTATTGGGGAAAACTGTGAAATTCGGTAACCAGGGAGTGGGTACAGGAGGTTGCTGGCCAGGTAAAATCGATCCATAATCCACATTGATCCATACGATGACCTGTCTCCAAACGCTCGCCATTTACTCTCCGAGCTCCAGAGAAAGGTGTGGCTTTCTGCTACAATCAACACAATTCAAAAGGTACATCACACCTTTCACAGTTTCACTACTGCTTGATGTGTCGTGTTTTTGTGTTTCAAACTGTGGGCAAACAGGTCAATCTGCTAGTGGCCAAAACAACTGCAAAGAGCTTTTCATTGCTGTACTACAAACCTTTTTGCAACCAATTTCACTTAGTGACTGATAGGAAAGTCCAGCGCCAAAATCCAGTTGGGGAATACATATTTATTCCTAATGACTGGTGATTGTCAAGGCGTCACTGGCTGGTCTCTAGACTCCTGTGATTGGGGCCTAATATATATGCCTTACACACAAAAGATTACCAGTTTCAGACCAGAAGGAGACACAAACCCAGCCTCACAAGCCAGTCATCTTCTATTGCAGGTCCCAAATTCAGATAAATGAAAATGCTGCATCAGAATGGCATCCAACATCTAAAATATATAACAATAAATCTGTGCCAAATCAAACATGTGGATCCATCTGTTGTGGTAAAGTCTTCAGAAATACTTAAAAAAAATCTGAGCAGTTTGAGGCATAAATGAAACTCTACATGATTTTCTCTGTAGCTGTGCACACACATAATGATGGATAGACTGAAAACCTTGTGGCGTAGATGAAAATATCACAACTAAAATCATCATCCAGGGACCACAAATACAGGTAAAAAATGTCACTACAATCTGTAAAATATAACCATCAAATATAAATTAGTCTTTACTCGACTGACTTTACTAGGCTGCTCTTGGAGCTCGTGTATTTGTCCTTTTTTGTCGGAGAATGACAAAGTCTGGTCTACTTTTTAAAGAAAACAGGGAATACTCACTTATCCTGGATTGTTGCAGTCAAAAACTTAAAGGATGAATCACTATTCATTAGTGAATAACAATTCTAAAAACTACTACACACCGATCTCTTTCACACATCGCTGTCATCTTTACATCATCCTGTGGCAAGAAACAGCATCTGGTGTGCGTTTGTGTGCGTAAGTGAGTGAGCGCTTTTGGATATGATTACACAGCGCCAACAGCTACACCCCAACTCGGAGACACGCTTCCAAATCCCAAAGTAAGGCTGACACACATACACACACGCACACACACACACACACACACAGACAAAATAACACAGTCAAGCAAGAAGAAGCCACACCCTGTTTTCACAAGATGTAAACCACACTGATTCACTGACACACAGAGACACACGGCCAAACGCTCCACCCTGACACATAGACAAACTGCTCGTAAAGTATCCAGCTAATGTGTGTGAGTGCAACCAGAGTCAGAGAATATCTCTCAGAAGTTTAAGGAGGAGAAAACAAGCTTATACACAATTATTCACTCGCTCAAAGTCACCTTCAGATTGGCTTCTGTTTGGTGGAGTTATTCTACTGTTTCATCTAAAGTGAAAAGGTCAAAAAAAGTGGAAATCGCATCAACGTAGCTTCAAACACACACACACACACACACACACCCATATAAAAAGAAATGGACCAAAACTCACCCCCTCTGTCTTGTTGTGCCTCAGATCTTTTTGCTTTAAAGCAAATGTTCAAGGATGAAGACGAAGAAACACGGAGACCTTAAGAGTGTGAAGGAGTGTGTGAGGTGAAAGGAAGACGAGACGAGGGAGGAGGAGCTGTTTGGCTCACTAGCAATCCTCTTAGCCTGGTTATGTCATGGGACCAAGCTAATCCTACCTTCACTGACTGACCCACACACACACACACACAGAGGATGACCATCCAGCAGACTGACCACCACCAATACGCACAAAAACAGTCTATGACTGGCTAGCCGAGGCCTAACCCAGATATACAAAGCAAATGTGCAGTTTGTGCTGAAACACAATGGTTTGGATGGTTCAAAATAGCTGTTAGTGACAAATTAAAAGCACCAAACATGAGGTCAGTTGCTCTTTTTACTGCATGACCTCAAGATAACAGGATAAGGCACGCTGGCAAAGCAAAACATGGTTAGCTGAAGGACTGACTCAGGCTGGTGACAAAAGACTAATTACCCTTTTTTTCTCTTTGTGAATTTATAAACAGCAATTACAGTGTGCGTGTATAGTGCATGTGCTGTGTTTGTGTGCTCGCATGGTTGTTCCTGGTAGAACAGTTCAATCATCACTGTCACTAATCCCCCGGCTAATCCGCTGCACTACACACACAGACAAATACATACACGCAAACGTGCACATGCATTGTGCTGTACGTGTGGGAATACTGGCTCACAAAGACACACTCATACAAGTACTTCGCTGCGACTACGGGGTTTATTTTGTATTCCTCAAATTAAATGCTATTAAGGAAAGTTTAAAGAGCCAGATGTCTTTTATCCTTCGCTGACTGGGATTATTTCTTGCATTTATTTTGAAAGTCAAACCCAAAAGCTATCAAAATAAATTATAGGAACATTTCTGCAAACAGAGGGTATGACTAACCAAATCCACCTTTAAAGCTCACCAATAAACACTTAGTGTATCTCTATTGGTCCATGCATGAAACACCAATATGTGCGGTACAAACAAGCTTGGTTAACCCTTTTAGATTGCCAGATATCCTTTTAGTTTATGGGTCACATTCAGTTCAATCTGATCTCAAGTGGGCCGGACCTGTAAAACTGCTGCATGATAACCAAAGTGTCTTTTAATGCTTACATCATTTCTTCATCATTTTACAAAAACAGCCCGAGTAGTTAATTTCAGCAGCATGTATTATTACATTTGCAAATCACAGCGAATCTGCAAAAGCAAAAACATGTTGACTTTGAATTTTGAGTTCTAACCATTTCAGATCTAGAATTGACTTTCCAGATATTTCTATGTATGCAAAAGACTGCTGACATGACCAAGAGCAGCAGTGCAGCTTATTAAAAAAACAAACAAATGAGAATAAACTGCATTTTCCATTCTTGCAAAGACATCCAGGTGACCTTTTGACCCCCGGGCTGCATGTTTGTCACCTCTGTGCTAGTATACTTTACCTTTACAGGCCAAGATTTCCCTCCTTTTCCAGTTGTTGCTCTTGCCACAGTTTCTAGCAGTAAGCAGAATCCAAATGCAGGACTCACAGACAAAACAAAGTAAATGAAAACTAACCTTCAATTAAGTCAACAAAAATAACACTCCAAAATCTTGGAAAGAGCACACACAGGGCATTAACACACACAAAAACAACAGGAAACTGAGGCTATATACAAACACACAGACATGCAATCAATGGAAGAGGAAACAGGTGGGAAATGGGGCACAGCTAAAACGAATCACATACAAAAGAAGTAAAACTAAATACAAAACACGAGAGACTAATCATGACGATGAAGAAGATGTGGGAGAAGATTAATAACTCAAAGAACGCAAAATCCACGCAAAACACAAAACCTTAAACAGAAGCTAAACCAGGAGAAATAACCTGAACCTCACAATGACAAAACCCACAGGCCATGATGGCGCTATGCCAAACTGGCTGCAGGTTAAACCACAGACAGCCCAAAGCTGTGGCCTGAAGAGGCCGTGTGCTATCTGGAATCAAGGAAGTCATAACTGACATGGATGGTCTCAAAGCTGTGGGTGTTTGTTTGTGTGCTGCAGCTCTTCACCGAGTCCTCATCTTCAAATTTTATAACAGAGGTGTTTTGATTAAATTTTACAAACCTGAACCTAACGTGGAGCTTCAGAGGAACAGAAACAATCCCAGTTTAATAAATCAGAATATTCTTTTGGTGCATGCACATCAGTATGAATCCTGCAGTTTTAGAAATAAAACCTCTGATATGTCATGCTTAAATAACTGCATGATATATTTTTTTGTAGTTACATATACAAAACAGACTGTACAGAATCAAAATCTCAGGAGACAATGAAAGCCTGGATGTTGAGGTTGAGCCAATTGGAGATGCAGAACGTGGCCTGTCGTGTTCCTCATGTGTGCGTGCGTGCCGGGTGTGTTGTGTGTGTGTGTGTGATGTGTGTGAGTGTGTGTGTGTGTGTGTGTGTGTGTGTGGTATGTGTGGGGTCTGTGTGGTGTGCCAACCTTGTCATTAGCACTTTCTGTGTTGCTGCTGTGGTCCAGCTCTGCTCCAAAAGCTGCTGAAACTTCTGCATAAAAATGAACAATGAAAAGAAATGTGTGCAGAGATATTGAAACAGCATATTAAAACTGGACCTGGGTGTGCTGAGCCCTGTGACCTGGCAGACATGTGACTGATACACACAGAAACAGAGCCTTGGCCTTAATTAACCACCGAAGCGCGCGTGTTCGCCTTATCGCAAGGATAAACGAACAGGATGTGAAAATCTGCTTTCTTTTCCCGTACACCGCATACTAATCATTATTATTATTTTAACACTTTATTTTCAAAATAGAGAATATTTACAGCAAATACTGACGACATAATTGGTGTTCACAAAAAGAACAATAACAATATAGTAAAAAAAAGAGAGAAAATCTTTTTTTTGCACCCAAAAAGAAAAAAGGGATCCACTTATCTGTCCTTATATGTCATAATTAATTATTATGACATATTAATATCTTCAGTTGAATGTAAGCTCTCCTTTAAGGATGTCAGCACTAGGGATGGGTACCGGTATCCGGTGCCATGATGGCACCGGTTCTGACATAAACGGTAGTAACCAGACCGAAAAGCAGCGCACATTTCGGTGCTTTTTTTTCCTGAGCTGTGATACACTTTAGATTCTAGCCAATCATTTTACGTTTCCGAGGATAGTAGGCGGGTCCAGGTACGTACGTTCTTTTAGAGCAGAGCTACAGATTAAAAATGCCCAAGGCGAAGCGGTCAAAAGTCTGGCTGTACTTCACAGCAAAATATGCAAACTCAGCAGCCTGCAACAAGTGCTTTAAGCTGATACTGTGATACTGTCAAAGGAGGTAACACCAAGAATCCGATGAAACACCTGGCGACGCATAGCGTTTTTTTTAAAAGCCGAGAAATGCGCCGTATTTGATAGCTTGCTGCGAGACCTCACACCGAGCACATCTACTGCGGGTGTGGTGCCTGTTATCGGACCCGGAGTTAGCAACATCCCCCAAAAACCCGAAGAGGAGAGTCCTGGCCCCTAGCCCTGCCAGTGTAGCAGAAATGATGACGGATGATGATGCAGCAGCAGCCGTTCTTCTCTGCGTGAGTAGCTTAATGTTGTTCGTGTGTAATTTACGTTGAGTAGGCTAACCACGTTATTACATTAATGCATGTAAGGTGAACTAGCAAACATCATCATAGCTACATGCGGCTGTCTTCTTGTTTGATGGCAGATACTCCCTTCACCCTGGCCAAAAAGGCTAAAATGACCAAAGAAAAAGTGGAAAACAGTTAAACATGAGAGGTTTTTGGACAAAGTTTGTGTTTTTTCCATTGTTTAAGCACTGCTTCCAGCCAAGAGTGATACCATATATGCCCCATAGCTGCAGAAAAGGCTAACATTGTTATCTTTTTACAAAAAAACCAGCTGAACATGAGAGGTTTTTGGACCAATTTTGTGTTCTCCATTCTTTAAGCACCGGTTTGAGCACCGTTTAAGCACCGGCACCGTTTCAAAAGTACCGGTTTGGCACCGGTATCGGATAAAACCTAAACGATACCCATCCCTAGTCAGCACATAGATCACTGGGCAGCCCCAATAAAAATTGCCCAGGATCTTTACAAACTTTACTTTTTACAACTCCACTTATCTTTTCTCTACATATTTCCAAAACTTGGAAATATAAGAGCATTCCCAAAAACAGTGAATACACATTCCTAGGGGGTGACCTGTTGGAATGTATTTGATTCACCACAGGACACCATATTTTCCATGTAT